CAGGTTTCACAGCCATATAGCAAGACAGGACGGACTGCTGCGGAGAAATCTCGGATTTTTGTCTTGAGGCTGATTTCATTCCTACACCAAAGGGGATTCTTCAGCTGTAAAAACGCCCTTCTTGCAGCATCGACGCGAACTTGCACCTGGTCTTTAGCTTGGCCGTTGGGAGTATGGTTGAACCAAAATATTTGAAGCTTTCAACGGATTCGATCGGCTCGCCATTTAGTAGTAAAGTATTTTCGGGATGAATCGGGACTATCGCAAAGGTTTTGGTTTTTGATGTGTTCACTTCTAGGCCGATCTTGGAGGCCTATAGACTGATACGATCAACGATTACTTGGAAGTTAGACATGCCCTCGCCAAAGACAAAAATATCATCCGCGAATTCCAAGTCGGTGAACCACAAGTTCGGATAGATCTGAACTTTCTGGTATCCTTCCATTGAACGACCCATTATCCAAACAGAAAAGTTGAACAGCATTGGGGAATGGGCACCTCTGTCTCACTCCAGATCCTAACCCGAACGCATATGACTCCTCTCTGTAGATGCGGATTCGGGCACTAGTGGTAGAATAGTAAGGTCTCATTAAGTTGACAAGTTTATCTGGGACACCGTCGGCCAGAACTATGTTCCAGAGGGATTTGCGATCTAGTGAGGCGAATGCCGCATGGAAATCAATGAAGCAGACTGCTATGGGTTGTTGAAACTTGTGGCAATGTTCCAAGACTCGACGTAAAGTGAATACTTGGTCAACGCAGCCCACACTGGGGTGGAATCCCTTCTGGTTAAGGCGAGTGCGTGCGTGCCTTGTTGCAGCAAAAACCTTCGTCGCTACGTCAAGTAAACTGATTCCTCTGTAGTTTTCGCACATTGATTTGTCACCCTTTTTGGGGAAAGGTACTAAAATCGATGTAATCCAGTCAATTGGACAAATTTCGGTTTCCCAGACTGCACACAGTAAGCTATGAAGAGGGTTTGAAATAGCCGAATCACACTTCGTAGATTTTGACGGGTATCCGGTCCTGACCGGGAGATTTTCATGGCTTGAGATGGCTGATGATATCTGAGACTTCTTCTACTGATGATGGAGCGCATTTAGCTTCGTATGGAGAAGATGTCGAGGAGGCCGCATAGGGAAGTTGGACTTGGGGGCGATTGAGAAGAGAACTAAAGTGTTTCACCCACCGAGACATTTTTCCTTGCGCATCAGAAATGAGCTCGCCGGAGGCGCTACTCAAGACAGAGTGGGTGACCTGTTTCTTGCCCGATGGTGATCGAATAAGTCGTAAGAGGATCGCCGTGTTGCCCAGGCCAAACCTCCCTAGGATGTGCTTCGTGGCCTCTCCTTGTGGGCCAGTTTGAGCGTTCCAGTCCCCTGCTATGAAAAATACATCCCGTTTGGGTACTTCATTAACAAGCGGTTGAAGGCTACCGTAGAACTCATCCTTTACATTGCTGTCAGATGGGAAAGTCGGGGAGTAGACAGCAATTACTGTGAGGTTTACTGGACGACCTTTGAATCGTGCTACTGCAAGCCTAGAGGATATTAGTTTCCACGAAAATGAAGCACTATTAGCCCGATGGCTTACAGCAAGTGCCACTCTATGTTCATGTTTCGTTGCCGCTGTGATACAGCCAGTATTGGCCATCGATGCCAGGAATTTTGATACTTTTGCAGGCGTAGCCCACTAATCTGACCTCCGATAGGCACGTGTTGTGGGTTACTATTCATTTTTGAGTAGTAGGTAACAAAGTTGGTGATTTCTTTCAATGATCAAAAATATAACAAGACTATCGAGGGCAGGAAGGTAGTGCATGGTTGTCGGTTTCCCTCTGGTGGGGGGGGGGAGAGGCAGGGAGCTCATACGCCATTGACAGTTGCTAGCTGATTTGTGGTCCATGCATCCCTG